CGTTAGTGGTATGTTGAGCAAGAGAAGGATCGACTCGTTGATATCACTACTTCACCTAGGGTTGTTTTGCTCTGCAGAAATGCCATCAAGTAGAATTTCAACAAAAGAAGTCATCAAGCAGTTTCGTGTAATCAAGAACGCACTTGCTCACAGAGAAGGATCTGGAAGATAGAATGTGTCTCGAGTACTTTTGAACCGGTTTTAGAGAATTTGCATGGCTAGTTGTGAATTGTGTGAATTTTGAAGAACTACTTGAGGATGTGTGGTCTCATGTCGCCAACCATTGCATTGATGGCCTTTCTTCTCACAGGTTTAGTAGGGTTTTACGGCTGAGGATCACTTCCCCGCCACTCCTTTTTTCTTGCTACTGTAGTTTGTTTTAGGTCACTTACTATACTAGTTTGATGGTTTGTAATCTGTGCTATGGAGGTTCTCTCGTAGCCATGTCGTGTAATTCTCTTTCTCTTAATGAAACATGTGCTAGACACGTTCGCAAAAAAAAATATCAAAAGCAGGATGGATTTTTCAAAAGTATGCTGTTAGTATCTATTTATATTACATAATGCACTTTGTGTGGCATGGTAGTTGTTGATCGCAAAACTGAGTAGGGTGCAGCAAAGTTAGCCTAGCTATTCACCAGAGCAAAGCGGCTAGGCCGTCTTGTCTTCGCCCTAGATGACCCTAGGCACTGTTTACTGTCCAGGAAAGGGCCAAAACTGGCTAGACTAACTTGGGCGCGCCTGGACTGGTTCAAGCACTGTTCATGGTCTGACAGTGGGTGAAAGTCGGCTTAGTCGAACTTGGGACCTGAGCAACATTTGGCACCTACCCATGAAAGTCGGTAAGCAATCCTGGTCCCAATCCGAGGTTGATTTAAGGAAAACGTTGTCTAGGCCCCTAATTTAGGTTTTGATAATTAATAATAATGTCGGTGGACTATACTAGATCATGGCTGTCCGACCCAACGAACCCATAATCCGACCTGTCCGAAAAAACCCCGATCAAATCGTCATGTTGGGTGGGCACGGGTTGCAAATTTTCGGCCTGGAGCAAAACTTGGGAAAGGTATAGGCCTAAATTATAGCCCATGGGCTAGCCTAATGACTCGACTAAAAGAACAATAAAAAGGAAATAATACAACACTTCCTATACTCTGTTGTAGCCCATCAAAAACTCTAGCAGTCCAGCCTAACAAGAGAAACCTGCCCACAAAGTCTTCACGCTGATATTTTTCCTAGTCCCCAGTCTTCTCACTCATGCGGTGTCTTTGTTGTTGTAAAGTCCACTCTCCCTAAGGTTCGGGCTCCAGCCTAACAAGTGAAACCTGCCCACGAAGTCTCCCCGCTGATATTTTCCCTAGTTCCCAGCCTTCTCATTCACGTGGTGTCGCTGTTGTTGTAAAGTCCACTCTCCCTAAGGTTTAGGCCTCTACTACAAGACTGAGTGGAACAAATTTTAAAATTTAAAATTTTCAAACAAACTTAGATGTTGACATGGTCTATATACCAAAGTTATAGTTCTCACTACAATCTATAACTTTGTAGTTGAAAAGTTTTTGATTTGAAGTTGTTTAGAGTCCTAAATATGTCTTTTAAATTCATAGATTTGTAATTGAAAATTTAGAATTTCCAAAACCAATTTGAATGTTTACATAGTTAATAGCAAAGTGTTAGCAGCCGACTTGATCTTCATGTTTACTGCAAATAGCTTTTTCATTTGAAGGTTTTTAGTGTATCAGATATTTGTTTTATGTTCACATATTTTGAGATCCAAATGTTTGAAATTTTTATACAATCTCAAGATGTAGACACATCCTATACCAAAGTTGTAGTGCTTCACAAGATTTAAAACTTTGTAGTTGAAGCTTCTTCGTTTGAGCTCATTTAGTAGCCAAAATATTAAATATAATATTGTAAATATTGATAAAAAAAGAAAGCATTCTATATGTAGTTGCTACTATATAGTCACAAATGGGGTGTATGGTTGGGGATGTGGAGTAGTAGGTCATGGGTTTAAGTCCTAAGAAGCACTTTTTTTTGTAGTGGAAGCAACATCCATGGACAAGAAAACAATAGATGCTATTACACAATCAAGCAACCATCTAAATGTCTAAATACATATAGCACAAGAATGGACGAAAATTCTTCTATCCCGCATGGGTCACGTGCTCATGCAATGCGATCCCAACTCCCGTTCATTGCCACCGGAGAAGAAGAGCGGAGATGTCGGAGATGTGCTATTACTACATGCTCGACACGACGACACCACCATATAGCAAACACCACAAGGAAACAAGGGCAAACACCATGGCGTGAACAAGCATAATACACCAGGACCTGAGAATGATGATGCCCCATACATACAAATTTCATTTGAGGACGATTGTACCCAACTTTGATACTAAATAGCTATCACATCCATACGATCTCTGTTTTCTTTTCCTTTCAAAACAACGGGACAACTTCATTGGAATTCATGGTTCCACAAATAAATGAAACCAGGACTGTGATGTGAATGATGCCCCATATATACAAATTTCATTGATTAACACAGAAACATTACTCACATGATAATTATTCAATCTCTTTGTTCTCACTTGGAGCAGTGCTTGCATTGGGAATTGGGAGTTCCACATTTTGCACTGGATATGCTTGTTGCCGAATCATGATCCCTACTGCTGAAAAAATATATATTATTAGACAATTTCATAGTAATTTAGAGCAGCCCATATAATATTTGGAGCAGATGCTTTTGGTCACAAATTTAAATAATTTATCAATGGATTTAATGTAGTGCACTGTCTGACAATTTGGGGAACAAGTAAAATCTCTTGCAAATTCACTTTATCTGCGATAATGGATTAATGATTTATACATTCCTTTTAGAACAAAACACATAAATGTTTCATTTTCTTTTTTTAAAAATGCCTTAATGTCTGTTTTCAATGGGTCTAAATCAACTTATTATGAGAAATTCTTTGCTAAGGACAATTTCTTATGAGAAAGAAGCCATAAGAGAAATCTAAGCTCAGGAGGGATTAGTATATTCATTTTAAGCTCTGAAAATTCGTATTTCTATGTTTTTATTGTCAAAACATTTTGTGCCTTCTCCGGCATTATCAAAAGCCAAGGAAACGTGAAACAAAATATGGAAAATGCGATATGGATGTAAATTTGTAGACTGGTTATTTCATAGAATTTTTGTGCTTGTTCTAAAAGAAAAAAAACAGCACTCCTTCCATCCCAGAATATAGATATTTATAGCATTCAGATTTTGTCCCAAAATATAGCTATTTCTGATTCTAATGTTGGCTCCAAGGGGTAAAATATCCCTTGTTCTATCTTTTCCTCCTTGGCATGCAAATACAAATATGGCAAGCAAGGCAAACAAATATGCAGGTTTTCCTTTTAAATTGGACGGCATGCAAACAAATATGGCTGCAGGCAATGCTGCCCATGCCACCAGATACGAGGCGGCTGTCTCACGCATGTAATGAAGGGCAAATTAGACTTCTAAGCACTCTCCTTAGGGCTCGTTCGTTTGAGTCATTCCCTCCCCGAAATAATTCCTGCTCAAGTCTGCTGAGTATAAATTAAATAGGCATTCCTGGCCGGAATGGATCTGGGACGTCGTTCCCCGGGAAACGAACAGGGCCTTAATCTATCTAAAAAAACTCATAAGCTAGCCGTATTCTAGGATTGAGGGAGTACACTTACCTTGCTCACACTTTCCATGTGTTGCTTGTTTATTTGTGGCGCTGGTGGCTAAGGTAGCACCTTCTCTACACTTGCTAATGTAGGAGTTCGCACGCCGAAGCCTCAAAGCAGCACCGTATGAAATCTCTCCAGGATAATGCCTGTCAGTCCTAGCATTTTCTATGTCTCCGACATTCCTTTCAATCACTAGTGAAAAGAATAACAATAGTTTAGGGAAGATGAAAAATCTCTTGCAAATTCCCTCTAGCCTCTTTGGAAAAGAGAAAAAGGAGAAACACTTACACTGCACACTATGGTTCCCAGTCACTGGCTGTTGATTTGTGGCACAGGCGGCAGGTGCAGCCTGAGTTGTAGATGGGCAGCCATATGATGATCCTTCCCATGGATTTTCTATGTCATTGTTGACATTCCTTGGAGGCCTCTTTAGAATGCCAGCGTGGGTGAGCAACGCCCACCAGTGTGTTATAAACTCTCCTCCATTTGTCAGTGTCTCAATATGCTCCTTCACATTTTCCGAAGGCGCAACATAGAGCAACATCTCCGCCCAGAAATCTGCAAGCACCTTCCAACACTTGTCATCTTCCATCTCCTCGAGCTGCCTCCCCAACTTCATCCCCCTCCGGAAGATGGATGTTTCTGTTGATTCAGGCAAACTTCTCAAGGCTTCATACTTGTCCTCCACTTTCTGCAGAAACTGTGCGGCTTCCACTGCGACTGCATCAAACACAAGGCTAGAATCATAGTGGTGCCCAGGAAGCAACTTTGGTGCTGAAACCACCAGGTACGCACAGTACTTGGACAGTATGGTGGCGACGTCAAGATGTAACTTGAGTGCTCCCCCAACTCTAGGGGAAAGACATTTCAATGTTTGCACCTCGCAGTAACACGTTGCAATGTGCCAAGTCAAAATGATGTGTGTCTGATTCTCCTTGTCCAGGTAAGAGTTGATGCCTGAGTCTGAGAGCATATTGTGCCTGCAAGCCCATAAGAGGTCATGCACTTCATTGTACACTAATGATGATTCTCCATTCGCTAGGACACCCTGTGTACGCAGGAGGGAATGGACAAGTGCCTTTTTTACTTCTACAGGTAACTTGATAGCTGCAGGTTTCACATGTCCCCTGCGGATACGTCGTGCGTGAATAATGTCTTTGTTTGTCTCACAAAGGTGCCCAAAGCTTGGAGACGATATAAGACTACAATGTCGATTCATAAACCTGAGAAGCCCTACCTTACATGGACTCTGCTTGTAGTTGTAACTAATCACTGATTCAAGCAAGGAGTATTGCCCAAGTTTATTCTGGTAGTAGTATTCGCTTGACCTTGACCTTGACCTCGAGATACCAATAATCATGGTAAGAATAATCTCCCTGAATCTCATGCAGCAGATCTTTTGAAGAAGTTTCGTGCAGACGCCTCTCCTTGAGCTCATTGCTTGTTCTCGAACATAATGGCAAACAAAGGATACTCTGCCCCAAATGGTGCTCCAAAAAAATAATACTTGGATAAACTCAAGCAAAGCAATGCATACTAGTATCAGTATTGTGACAATAACGTCAAACGTTGTCGTATCCTTGAATTCAGACCCATTGTGATTAGAAAGAACACTGGCTGTCAGCTGGTAGATTGTCACAGACATTAAGCTGGCTGATGCTAAGGACCAAATTGTTGAAGCCTTTTTAGATCCGTAGTAAAGAACAGCATACTTGGTGAAGAAGAAATCATACATAAAAGTTAACTCAACCTCAATCACCCTGAAGATCCTGTTGTAATTGAGAGGGTTCCGTCCTCATTCTTTGACAAAAGCCCCTTGAAGACAAAATCATGTGTCTTTCGCTGTGAGGATTCAGCACACACAAACCCAAAGAAGCGCCTTCTCAGCAGATGAAAAAGAGAGAAGGAAAGGCATACATCCTTCAGCTCGGAGCTTAGTTCATTGCACAGCCATATCCTCTCTATGTCAATGATTTGAGCACCATCCACTGTTAATTCCATTGCATATGACATTCTTGCTTCCAGTTTTGACTCATCGAGGGGCCAATCAACTAAGTAATGATAACCTTTCATGCTGGTTGGATCGTAAGATGGGCCACTTCTGGAGTGTTCCTCATACATGTAGTCGGCAACCATTTTGTTCAAGTTCCATGATCCGGCTGCCAGCTGGTATGCCCAGAATCTTTGCATAAATTTAAAAGAAGCTAACATACTCACCCAGATAACTAGGCTGGCATGAGATATGTTAATTAGAGTGACATATATTTGGAAAAGCAAAAACAAAAAAAGCTGATTCTTTTGTTGGTTGTTGTCATTGAGACAATAAGCTGTAATAGAGTCGGCAGAACCAAAGAGGAGATACAGGGATGAGGCCCAAATGGGGTACATGCTGCTCTTCACTGCAGATGAGTACATTGAACCAAGTGTGTATGATATCAGGGACGAGGACAAAGCGTATGCAACCATGACACCATTCTGTACGAATGAGTTTCTGATCCGGCGGCGCAAGGGCCCAAAGGTGGCCATGAACAACAGGCTGATAGCAGACAATACGACAAGTACCTCAATGCGGATAACTGTTGCCCTAGCAGTCCCCCAAAGGTACTTTGCACAACCTGATAATAAGGTGTTCACATCCCTGAGATCATGATGATCCTTTGCCTTCAAAGCGATGCAATCGGCGGCCAGCTGCAATGGGTGGATGTGTGGTAAGGTACTACACAACTACACAAGCTTCTATAAACCAAAATGATGGGGCAGTGGGGCACCCATCACTGATGTGTGCTGTACCATAGTGGTTGAGCAGAACAATGCAATTACTATTAAGGTCAGCAGTTAAGAAAGGTAATTAATCTCGTGATATTATATAAAAAAAAGAAATGCTGGGGTACACATTTGCATATATACATAGTGGTAGGCTGGTAGCATAAGGAGACCCCCTTTTATTCAGAAGGTCAAAAAACAAAGATATTATTCAGGATAATTGTCTAGAAGCTACAAAAAAAAATCGATCATAATAGCAGATAACAATGTTATGGTTCACTTCATGTGTGATAGCGCAAATATTCTTGGCTTATATTCAACTGAAGAACAGGAGTACAACTATATAGAGCACGCAGCCTATCTTCCTCTACCTGGTTTATAGAATCAAGACCAGGGAGGAGATCAGGCGCATGCAAAAGGAAATGCTGCAGCTAGAAGGAGACTCGGCCAGCCATGCGCTAAGAAAGCGAGGCTGAGGACTAAGCCAGCCAGTCATCTAAAAATAGAGGGGAAAGAGATAAACTCCAATACTCTAACAGTGTGCATTATTGGTTTTGTGTTTTAGAACTCATCAGACAGACTGCCAATGCTACCCCAAAGTTTGATATATAACCAAATGAGCACTGCAGAACAAAATGGAACGCAAGTTGAAGTTCATAGGTAAACAGACTGAAACAGAAACACTGAATATGACTAAAGACTCCACAGGTCTGGAGCAATATTTTAAATCACTTAGCTTCATTATTAAAGCCTATCACAAATAAGCATGTTCCGAACAGTAGAATTGATTGGTCTCGGAGATAGAGCTATGACTATTAGTTCCTTCTGTAACACATTTACAGAAATGAATAGTGTTATTTCACTCAAGAGAAATTAACTCAGAAAACGGTATTTTCAAGAAAGAGGCATAAGCAAGCACAACAAGAAATTTAAATTCTGAGACTCTAGCAAGAGCAAACATGGCAAGAAAGCATCTTCCCTCATCATGATCAATTATTGCAGGAGAACGTAATCAGTCTTTTTTTTCTTAGAGGGAAAACAAGAGATGTAACTTTCTTTGGTCAGTCACAGCTGCATACCGTGCGGTTAGCCATCCCCTGGATGGATCGACGAACTGATCTCCCTTCCTCCCTCCCCCTAAGCCTAAGTGTCTTCCAGATGAGGCAGATGGCAGGTGCACTCTGGCTTTGAACAGGACACACATATACAAGCACCTACTGCATTAGGCACAAAGTCAAGTCAGCTGCTCCAAGGGTGGGCCAAGATGAGAGGGATGTGCCTTTGTACAATTGTACCATTCATCAAAAAGCAAGACTTTTTGTTGTTTAGAAAGCAAAACTTTGACAAAAAAAACAAAGCTAGCTGAAACAACAAAGCGAGCTAGCTGCTGTGTATGCGTCTTACTCCATCGAGTTTGCGACCAAAACAGTTGCGAAATTTAACTTTTACTACCAAGACAAAGCAAAGCAGGGACCTGATCCAACACACACACATAGGAATCATCGTTCAGTTGCTCTCGCTCATTCGTCGGAACACTGGAGCACCTGACATATAAAAAAGAGATCAATGGTGACCAAGCCCTTTATTATTAGTTTATTAGTCGTCCTTTGAAGGGCGGGCCTGGTGCAAGCGGTAGAGTCTTACCGCCTGTGACCCGAAGGTCCCGGGTTCGAGTCGCGGTCTCCTCGCATTGCACAGGCGAGGGTAAAGCTTGCCACTGACACCTTTCCCCAGACCCCGCACAGAGCGGGAGCTCTCTGTACTAGGTACGCCCTTTTAGTTTGGCACATTGTTCCCTTGTGTGGCAATAAGAAAGGAATTATCAAATAAACCAATTGAATCAGTACAGAAATACTAGCAAACTAAAATCTGATTTAGATCCTAGCAGGTGTTTTCTCACCCCCTTCCGCGTAAAGTTACGCGCACCCGACGTCGCGCGTATCCTAATCGCGGCTGGTTCCCTGCGCGTTCTCTTCTTCCCCTGGCGTGTAATCAGTTTTTTTTTCATAGAGGGAAAACAAGAGATGTAACTTTCTTTGGTCAGTCACAGCTGCATACCGTGTGGTTAGCCATCCCCTGGATGGATCGACGAACTGATCTCCTTTCCTCCCTCCCCCTAAGCCTAAGTGTGCTCCAGATGAGGCAGATGTGCACTCTGGCTTTGAACAGGACACACTCATACAAGCACCTACTGCAGCAGACACAAAGTCAAGTCAGCTGCTCCAGAGGTGTGCCAAGAAGATAGGGATGTGCCTTTGTACCATCCATCTAGAAACCAAGGTTTTTTGTTGTTTAGTCTGGCACCTTGTTCCCTTGTGTGGAAATAAGAAAGGAATTATCAAATAAACCAATTGATTAATCAGTACAGAAATACTAGCAAACTAAAATCCGATTTTGGATCCTAGCAAGTGTTTTCTCACCTCTCGAGTGGGCAGAAATACTATTAGTGTCACTCAAGTTGTTTACTCCAACTGACCTTATTTTGTTTTGAAAACTGAAAGATAACTTAATAGTATCGCAGTATTATTAAAAAAAAGAACTGGGGAGATGTGAGGCATATGTTTGTTTGGTCAAAGTTGCATACCGAATGTTAGCCATCTCCTTGGATGAAATGAGGAGCTAAAAAGTCGCCTTTCCTCTGCAAGTCCATGTGATGATGAACTGCAGATGGCACATATTGATATTGTTCTGCTTGTAGCAAATGGAGTATGATAGTACTGAATCAAGTGAAGTGGATTCCCAATCCCATGGTTGTGGCAAGAAGAAGATAGGGACGTGGCTACATGTCTAGTAATTCAGAATAAGCTTCCTAGAACACTGAATCTGAATCCATCGACATCAGTAGATCAGGAGATGCTTCCTATAGAACACAGAAGTGGATTCCCAATCCCCTGTCATCGATTGGGCGGATCCGTCGGGGAGACGGGGACAGCATGCAGGACCTGGGCTGCTTAGCACCACCCGCACGGCCAGAGAGATAAGAAAAGAACTGGCCAAGACCGATGCAAATCCAACTAACGACACGGGCACACGGCTGGCGAGTGGAGAGAAAGGCTGCGATTTCTTCAGCCATGGAACGGAAGCAGCCAAAGAAGCAGCATTCCAAACACAAACAGGACAGACAACAATCGAGGGGTGAGTTGGGTGCTCGCCCGGGAGGAGTAAGGGCTCTGGAGTCTGGACCAGCAGCGGGAGGGCATGGTGGCGTCGTGCTTGGACGATGGGGGAGGGGCACCGGCGGGAAGGAGCGACGGGCGGCGCCCCTCCGGCGCTGAGGCTTTGCCGGGGGCTAAGCATTCCGGGCCAGTGGGCCGTATCGTCCAAAAGGCCAATCGAAATTTCCTACGCAACGGCCTGCTCCAGCCCAATGAAGACGCACTGACACACATTTTTGTTTATAATTCTGAGATTCTGATGAACAGCATGTACTATATACTACTAGAATTATGTTTGATAAAAAAAATACTAGAGTTATATTCCCATCTCACAATAAAAAAAAGAATTATGTCCCCATCGGATGGTTACTAATAAAGGGACAATTTCAGAAAAAGAAACGACGTAATCTGTTCTGAAGAGGACATGTATGAGCGCAGTACGTGTCAAATCATTAATTTGTCGTGACACAAAGTGTGGCAACACGCGCACGGAAAGAATATGAAAATAGCCACCACTGGTATAGCAGCAAGCACCAACGTATTTTTTTTACTACAAATATATATTTCATAATTAATTTTATGGTATTTGTTTTGTATCATAAATGTTAGTATTTTTTATACATAACTTTGGTCAAACTTAAAATCGATTAACTCCTCGAAAAAGTGAGAATTGCATCTTCTTTTGACAGATGGAGTAATAATACTAGCTCCTAGCAAAAAAGCAAATTGTTTCACATGAGATTTTTTATCGAAAGAGAGATGCACTACACAACATTATATTAAAAAAGAGGAGTCTAAGAAGACTCATACAAGCACATGATGGCACAAAAGTATATCGTATGGGACAATATCTTAGCAAACCTAAAAACAATGAATGCCACTAACTTTCAAGTTGTTTAGTTACAAAATATAAAAGTTACTCCCTCTGGACCCTCGTGCGGAGGCCCTCGCGCGTGCGTAGATGCACGTCGAGGAGTTACGACAAAGGCGGTAGAGCCAGCTGCCACTTGCGCTGGTACGCTCGGCGCAGCACGCTGCGCCACGCGCGCGTAACCCGACGAGCAGCGCTCGGGGTCGCGCCCGTCAGGTCCAGCGCAACATCCTGGATTGAGGGAACGACCCCCTCAGTTCGCTCGAGCTGGTCAGAACATCGCTGCTGCGGCGATGCTTCTGCGCGGCCTCCCCGAGCCGGCTGACCCCCAGGAACAAGCAATCGACCCGAACCTGCGAGCGCTGGTAGAGACCGCCGCCGTTCAACAGGCGGAGAGCTCCGCATCTCGGCACCGGCTTGCGGCCTCTTGCCCCACCGGGGGACTGGGGCCGCACCAGTCGAATCGCTCTATCCACTCGCCACTACAGTTGCCGGGTGTGGGGTAGGAAGCCGCGGCTGCACTGCAGACCGATCCGGCGCCCGCTCCACACCGACCGCCTGTGCACGAACGTCTCAGGCCGAACTGAGATGCTCGCAGCGTCATCAACAATCGACGCCACGTCCGGCACGATGATGACGTCTATCGAGTAGCGGCAAGAGCAGGCGGCGTGGATCTCAGCCTGACCATCGAGGAGTGTGGGTACACGCACCCCAGACGTGGCGCCCGACCAAACGACCGGAGCCCTAGCCCGGACGGCCCGGGGCCACGGGCCTTTGGTCGTCGCATCCAGAGAGCGCCGTTCCCACAACGCTTCCGACCACCCACCAACATCGCCAGATACACCGGGGAGACCAACCCCGGCATATGGCTCGAAGACTTCCGGCTCGCCTACCGAGCCGGAGGAGTGGATGATGACCACTTCATCATCCAGTACCTCCCCATCTGCGTGGGGGAGCATGTTCGAGCATGGCTCGAATTCCTTTAGCCCGACAGCATCTGCGACTGGGTGGATCTCAAGAGGGTCTTCGTCAGGAATTTCCAGGGGACATATGTCCGTCCTAGGAATTCCTGAGACCTTAAGAGCTGCCAGCAAGAGTCCAACGAGTCCCTATGGGACTATATCCACAGGTTCTCCAAGCGGTGCAACTCCCTTCCGCGTATCAGATATTTGTTTTAGTGTATCAGATATTTGTTTTATGTTCACATATTTTGAGATCCAAATGTTTGAAATTTTTATACAATCTCAGATGTAGACACATCCTATACCAAAGTTGTAGTGCTTGACAAGACTTAAAACTTTGTAGTTGAAGCTTCTTCCTTTGAGCTCATTTAGTAGCCAAAATATTAAATATAATATTGTAAATATTGATAAAAAAAGATAGCATTCTATATGTTGTTGCTACTATATAGTCGCAAATGGGGTGTATGGTTGGGGATGTGGAGTAGTAGGTCATGGGTTTAAGTCCTAAAAAGCACTTTTTTTTTAGTGGAAGCAACATCCATGGACAAGAAAACAATAGATGCTATTACACAATCAAGCAACCATCTAAATGTCTAAATACATATAGCACAAGAATGGACGAAAATTCTTCTATCCCATGCGGGTCACGTGCTCATGCAATGCGCTCCCAACTCCCGTTCATTGCCACCGGAGAAGAAGAGCGGAGATGTCGGAGATGCGCTATTACTACATGCTCGACACGACGACACCACCATATAGCAAACACCACAAGGAAACAAGGGCAAACACCATGGCGTGAACAAGCATCATACACCAGGACCTGAGAATGATGATGCCCCATACATACAAATTTCATTTGAGGACGATTGTACCCAACTTTGATACTAAATAGCTATCACATCCATACGATCTCTGTTTTCTTTTCCTTTCAAAACAACGGGACAACTTCATTGGAATTCATGGTTCCACGAATAAATGAAACCAGGACTGTGATGTGAATGATGCCCCATATATACAAATTTCATTGATTAACATAGAAACATTACTCACATGATAATTATTCAATCTCTTTGTTCTCACTTGGAGCAGTGCTTGCATTGGGACTTGGGAGTTCCACATTTTGCACTGGATATGCTTGTTGATGAATCATGATCCCTACTGCTGAAAAAATATATATTATTAGACAATTTCATAGTAATTTAGAGCAGCCCATATAATATTTGGAGCAGATGCTTTTGGTCACAAATTTAAATAATTTATCAATGGATTTAATGTAGTGCACTGTCTGACAATTTGGGGAACAAGTAAAATCTCTTGCAAATTCACTTTGTCTGCGATAATGGATTAATGATTTATACATTCCTTTTAGAACAAAACACATAAATGTTTCATTTTATTTTTTTTAAATGCCTTAATGTCTGTTTTCAATGGGTCTAAATCAACTTATTATGAGAAATTCTTTGCTAAGGACAATTTCTTATGAGAAAGAAGCCATAAGAGAAATCTAAGCTCAGGAGGGATTAGTATATTCATTTTAAGCTCTGAAAATTCGTATTTCTATGTTTTTATTGTCAAAACATTTTGTGCCTTCTCCGGCATTATCAAAAGCCAAGGAAATGTGAAACAAAATATGGAAAATGCGATATGGATGTAAATTTGTAGACTGGTTATTTCATAGAATTTTTGTGCTTGTTCTAAAAGAAAAAAACAGCACTCTTTCCATCCCAGAATATAGATATTTATAGCATTCAGATTTTGTCCCAAAATATAGCTATTTCTGATTCTAATGTTGGCTCCAAGGGGTAAAATATCCCTTGTTCTATCTTTTCCTCCTTGGCATGCAAATACAAATATGGCAAGCAAGGAAAACAAATATGCAGGTTTTCCTTTTAAATTGGACGGCATGCAAACAAATATGGCTGCAGGCAATGCTGCCCATGCCGCCACCAGATACGAGGCGGCTGTCTCACGCATGTAATGAAGGGCAAATTAGACTTCTAAGCACTCAACTTAAACTATCTTAAAAAACTCATAAGCTAGCTGTCTTCTAGGATGGAGGGAGTACACTAACCTTGCTCACAGTTTCCACGTGTTGCTTGTTTATTTGGGGCGCTGGTGGCTAAGGTAGCACCTTCTCTAGACTTGCTAATGTAGGAGTACGCACGCCGAAGCCTCAAAGCAGCACCGTATGAAATCTCTCCAGGATAATGCCTGTCAGTCCCAGCATTTTCTATGTCCTCAACATTCCTTTCAATCACTAGCGAAAAGAATAGCGATGGTTTAGGGAAGATGACAATTCCTCTTGCAAATTCACTTTAGCCTTTTTGGAAAAGAGAAAAAGGAGAAACATTTACGTTGTACAGTATGGTCCCCAGTCATTGGCTGTTGATTTGTAGCACAGGCGGCAGGTGCAGCCTGAGTTGTAGATGGGCAGCCATATGATGATCCTTCCCATGGATTTTCTATGTCATTGTTGACATTCCTTGGAGGCCTCTCTAGAATGCCAGCGTGGGTGAGCAACGCCCACCAGTGTGTTATAAACTCTCCTCCATTTGTCAGTGTCTCAATAATGCTCCTTCGCATTTTCCGATGGCGCAACATAGAGCAACATCTCCGCCCAGAAATCTGCAAGCACCTTCCAACACTTGTCATCTTCCATCTCCTCGAGCTGCCTCCCCAACTTCATCCCCCTCCGGAGGATGGATGTTTCTGTTGATTCAGGCAAACTTCTCAAGGCTTCATACTTGTCTTCCACTTTCTGCAGAAACTGTGCGGCTTCCACTGCGACTGCATCAAACACAAGGCTAGAATCATAGTGGTGCCCAGGAAGCAACTTTGGTGCTGAGACCACCAGGTACGCACAGTACTTGGACAGTATGGTGGCGATGTCAAGATGTAACTAGAGTGCTCCCCCAATTCTAGGGGAAAGACATTTCAATGTTTGCACCTCGCAGTAACACGTTGCAATGTGCCAAGTCAAAATGATGTGTGTCTGATTCTCCTTGTCCAGGTAAGAGTTGATGCCTGAGTCTGAGAGCGTATTGTGCCTGCAAGCCCATAAGAGGTCATGCACTTCATTGTACACTAATGATGATTCTCCATTGGCTAGGACTCCCTGTGTACGCTGGAGGGAATGGACAAGTGCCTTTTTTACTTCTACAGGTAACTTGATAGCTGCAGGTTTCACATGTCCCCTGCAGATACGTCGTGCGTGAATAATGTCTTTGTTTGTCTCACAAAGCTGCCCAAAGCTTGGAAACGATATAAGACTACAATGTCGATTCATAAACCTGAGAAGCCCTACCTTACATGGACTCTGCTTGTAGTTGTAACTAATCACTGATTCAAGCAAGGAGTATTGCCCAAGCTTATTCTGGTAGTAGTATTCGCTTGACCTTGACCTTGACCTCGAGATACCAATAATCATGGTAAGAATAATCTCCCTGAATCTCATGCAGCATATCTTTTGAAGAAGTTTCGTGCAGACGCCTCTCCTTGAGCTCATTGCTTGTTCTCGAACATAACGGCAAACAAAGGATACTCTGCCCCAAATGGTGCTCCAAAAAAGTAATACTTGGATAAACTCAAGCAAAGCAATCTCTTAATATGAATCCTGCACCCAAACCGTGGGCACCCGCTAGGGCCACGTCACCCGTTAACTGGCAAACCGTTGGATCTGGCGGAAACACGATATGGACCGTTGGATCGGGCTCGTCGCGGGTCTCCAACCCATTAAGTCACGAACCCGGAAGGTCGCGATTGTTCGCGAACCCGCTCGGCGGACGACCCGTCCCGTCCCCGGCGCCGGCGCGTCTCCCTCCTCCCGCTGCTCCATCGTCCCCTGCCCCTCCTCCCTTCTCCCCCGCAGGCACTAAGGCACGGGTTGAGCACGGCGCCGGCGCGTCTCCCTCCTCCCGCTGCTCCATTGTCTCCTGCACCTCCTCCCTTCTCCCCCGCAGGCACTGAGGCACGGGTTGAGCAGGCAACGCCGGTAGCACTTGGAGCGGGCAAATCGAGTGGGGCACGGGCGGACAGAATGGAGCGTGGGGCAGCGGCGCAAGCGCCGGCTAAATGGCGGAGCGAGACACGGCGACCTCGCTCGCCGGCCTCCACCCTCCGCGTGCTCTGCTTTGTACGTAGCTACGGCCGCAAAGACACACCCTGCCTGTTAGCCCCAGCGAGAACAGGTATGTGGCAACCATGGTAGCAGGCGCTTGCCGACTGGCACCAGTACGTTCCGCCTAGCTCGGTCCCCGGACTCGCTCCCGTCGGCTGCCCGGTGTGGTGCCGCTATCTTCACCTCAGAGTTCTCGCTTCGTCTCCTTGGAGAGTCCTGCAATAATCTATTTTCCAAAACCTTTTATAGTTCCTTGATCTGCATTTCCATTAACAGTTAAGTACACAGCTTAGGTATTTAGTTATATCAGTTAGATAGTTCAGTTTGTTGTACAAATGGCTAGAAACCAGGTGTAGATTAGTTTCCATATGCAAAATCAAAAAATTTCATTTTCTTATTATTGTGGTACTAATGCCCTTTGTGCTTTACATGTCATCATGTGTTAAAAAAGCATTGCTTGTTACTATACTATTCATATATTCATATTCAGTCAAGTTCTTAGGACCCTACTATTCAAACTGAAATGTCAGAGCATCAGGCAATTCGTTATGCACCTGCTTGCTGGATATTAAACAAATCAGTTCTTTGTATGTATAATTACCTCCTAACCTGCTGTATCTCATTTATAATTTTTTTTAAAAAATAATTTGATTGCATTTCAATCATATTATACTTCATTACCTTTTTTTTTTGTTATTTTTAATTAGAATACTCGGTTGTTCGTTTCTAGAACCAGGCCAAATATTTTTTTTTTCACGAACGTGCCATGTAGCACGTATTTAGCTCCAAGAAGGTGTCGCAGGTACTATCCAAACTGAACAAACCTGTGTATGGGTAAAATATAGTGCTCAAAACACTTGTACTGTGCTCTTCTATGCAGCACTCTTTATCTGAGATGGGCATTACTTCTATCCATTTTTTTGAGCGAATATGGCAGGAGTTCTGTCGTTTTATTAAGTTGAAAGCAAAGGTAGATATTTACAATGAATTGAGAGTTATTGACTTCCTACACTACCCTGCTAAAAACGACGACAAAAGTAAATCACAAAATTTCCATTGACTTTCACGGTTTCACCTACATATGTTTCTGTATATAATAGAATTTGTAGGTGCCTCCAAGAAGCCAATGAAGGTACATGTACTAGGAGCCTGGAATGTTCTTTTTCTATCTTCCTAATTTCTCATTCAGACTGAAGCCTGGCTTAGTGGTAGTCTAAATTTCTGACTATAGTACAGCAAAATGTCATATAGTAGTGCGAGGAAAATCATAAGTAATCCCAAAATGAGTATGACAATTCCACCATTGTACAAAGTGTCATTTTAACCCTTGATTGTCAAGTGGGTAATTCTAGAAAAACAGTGGAATTGCTTTGGAAAATCTAATCCTTCATCTTGCTCAGTTTAGCTACTTTGGTAATTATAATATATAACCTTTATGCAGTGTGCTATTTTGCACCATCGTGCAATTTATTGTTAAATCCATGATTTTTTATGATAAAAAAATATTTTTATTTTGTATTTATTTGGAGCTCATTTTCCATTTGAGATCCGTCGTTTATTATTATTGACAATGAAGAGCAAAGGCGAACTATCAGCACAGGATGTAGCACCAAAGGCACAACATAGCTTATCAGTGATGACCTCTCAACCTTTTGCTTTAAGTTATTATGATGGACACCAATAACTAGACGATCTAGTAGGGCGCGGCAAAGCCGCGCCTGCGTTTCTAGTGCATACTAGTATCAGTATTGTGACAATAACGTCAAACGTTGTCGTATCCTTGAATTCAGACCCATTCTGATTATAGAAAGAACACTGGCTGTCAGCTGGTAGATTGTCACAGACATTAAGCTGGCTGATGCTAAGGACCAAATTGTTGAAGCCTTTTTAGATCCGTTGTAAAGAACAGCATACTTGGTGAAGAAGAAATCATACATAAAAGTTAACTCAACCTCAATCACCCTGAAGATCCTGTTGTAATTGAGGGTTCCGTCCTCATTCTTTGACAAAAGCCCCTTGAAGACAAAATCATGTGTTTTTCGCTGTGAAGATTCAGCACACACAAACCCAAAGAAGCGCCTTCTCAGCAGATGAAAAAGAGAGAAGGAAAGGCATACATCCTTCAGCTCGGAGCTTAGTTCATTGCACAGCCATATCCTCTCTATGTCAATGATTTGAGCACCGTCCACTGTTAATTCCATTGCATATGACATCCTTGCTTCCAGTTTTGACTCATCGAGGGGCCAATCAACTAAGTAATGATAACCTTTCATGCTGGTTGGATCATAAGATGGGCCACTTCTGGAGTGTTCCTCATACATGTAGTCGGCTACCATTTTGTTCAAGTTCCATGATCCGTTTGCCAGCTGGTATGCCCAGAATCTTTGCATAAATTTAAAAGAAGCTAACATACTCACCCAGATAACTAGGTTGGCATGAGATATGTTAATTAGAGCGACATATATATTTGGAGAAGCAAAAACACAAAAAGCTGATTCGTTTGTTGGTTGTTGTCATTGAGACAATAAGCTGTAATAGAGTCGGCAGAACCAAAGAGGAGATACAGGGATGAGGCCCAAATGGGGTACATGCTGCTCTTCACTGCAGATGAGTACATTGAACCAAGTGTGTACGATATCAGGGACGAGGACAAAGCGTATGCAACCATGACACCATTCTGTACGAATGAGTTTCTGGTCCGGCGGCGCAAGGGCCCAAAGGTGGCCATGAACAATAGGGTGATAGCAGACAATACGACAAGTACCTCAATGCGGATCACTGTTGCCCTAGCAGTCCCTGATAATAAGGTGTTCACATCCCTGAGATCATGATGATCCTTTGCCTTCAAAGCGATGCAATCGGCGGCCAGCTGCAATGGGTGGATGTGTGGTAAGGTACTACACAACTACACAAGCTTTTATAAACCAAAATGATGGGGCAGTGGGGCACCCATCACTGATGTGTGATGTACCATAGTGGTTGAGCACAACAATGCAATTACTATTAAGGTCAGCAGTTAAGAAAGGTAATTAATCTCGTGATATTATATAAAAAAGAAATGATGGGGTACACATTTGCATATATACATAGTGGTAGGCTCGTAGCACAAGGAGACCCCCTTTTATTCAGAAGGTCAGAAACAAAGATATTATTTAGGATAATTGTCTAGAAGCTACAAAAAAATCAATGATAATAGCAGATAACAATGTTATGGTCCACTGGCCTTGCAAACATTAAAGGTACACAAATACTTCGTGTTCCCTAATCCTCTTTCCATGCAAGGATTATGCATATATTATTTACTCAGTGGTCTACCAGCTAATTCACGCCGCGCGCGAGGGCACGCGCAATGTACGTACTAGTACTTCTATATATGGTGGTTATTGTTATGGATGTGTTATGATATGGTGGTTGGATGTTTGGGCTTGTGCTGGTTCCTGCTTGGATTCTAAGGATCGGTTCTCGGAGCTTGTAACGCGGCTTAACAGCGCAACCATGAGGTCTAGATGGGCTGGACCTGGCTAATTAATTAGTTTGCTCCAAGTTCTAGTTTGGCACAAGAGGGGGCTTTTGCAGTGGTGTTGGTACCTAGCTCTTTGGACTAGAAGATGGAGTTTCTGGAATACGGTGTTTCCTGAAGACAGCGTCGATGCTAGGCAGGTGTACCCCCGGTCGGCTGCCTGCGGGGATGAAGACCCTGCTTCGCTAGAATTTTGATGTAATTTCTGTTTAGACCCTCTGGTCATTTTGTAATAAGTTATTGTTTTTGTAATAAACACTGCTCTGTATCACTATACTTGTCATTGCATGTATGAATAAACAGAACCTGGCATACATGTGATGTGCATTCAATTTTGTCCTTAAAATCGGATGTGACACTATATTAACCACATTTCCCTAATCCTCTTTCCATGCAAGGATTAAACATATATTATTTACTCAGTGGTCTACCAGCTAATTCACGCCGCGCGCGAGGGCACGCGCAATGTACGTACTAGTACTTCTATATATGTAAAGTAGATCTAAGTGCGCTGATTAGCTAGGCTGTAACACCCGGTTTCAAGGACAAAGCCGAATGCACGCCATATGTGAGCCCTGGAAATCAAATCTCACATATAGCTACAAATGAAGGGCAGTATCAAATCGTAATGCTTAATATATAGCGAACTTAGCAAAAGAGATAACCTTAGAAAGCAATCAACGGATAGACAACTCTGATCCCCGGGTGCAGACGTCACTCCACCGGATCCAAACTGACTGGTTGATTACAAGCCTAACTTCTCAAGTCTCTGACAAACTGTTATCCGGCCTGAGGTGTGGGGGAAATTGCAAGAGTGAGTCCATGTCGAACTCAGCAAATATAACAACAAGGTAGTGTATTCCATAACCACATGATCAAGTATAATTGAATAATAAATATCTTAAACAATTGACATAAATGATCATCTTAACAAGTAAAAGTCATCATCTCTTATGTAAGGGTTCCAAGGCCGCTCGTATCCGTGAGCACGGCTAGTATACCAGTTTATTAAACTCTGCGCAGAGGTGTACACTTTCACTGTGAGTCATGATTTGCCCTTTCGCCCGAGGTGATCAGCCTCTTAACCCACTACCAAGGAAGGTCGGCAGGGTTCACTATGAAGCCTTTCAAAGGTTCCGTCTAACCGGGAAGGGCCGCAGGGTCATCGGATATAGGAACCCCCCTTCCAAAAAAAATAAAAGGCCGCTTCCATAGCTAGGCTCAACAGGACAGAGGCTGTCCTATACCCAACTCGCAGTATCCTCTAAGCCGGCTAGAAAAAGACCTCATACTGAGCTAAAGCCAGAGCCATATAGCCCTCACAGCTGTACTGTAAGTCCCGGATGATCACTTACAAGACAAGTCCTTAGATTGCTAAAAAGTCATCTTGTTTATGTTTATAGCATATTCATTAATCAAGTTTCAAGATCATGGTCACAGAAAGAAAACCCAAGCTATACTTGCCTTAGTCTTGCTTTACACCCAAAGCAACTTGCTTCAGAAGCCTCACTCTATCTTCAATTCTGCAACTTCTGTAGCTTCGGTACTCAGCTTCTGATCACCGGCGCTTACCAACAATTCTGGTTCTACTCGCGGATCAAAGCACACCAACAAACATACAAGGAAACAAAGTAGACTAAGAACAACAGAGCAAGAGCTTTAAAACAACGTGCTAAGAGAGTGCTCGTTGCTACGGTCAAAGAAACGCAAGAAACACCGATAACCGAACTATCTTTAAAAGAAACGACTAACGGAGTTTTAAATTATACAAGAAAAGAGATGACTACAAGCTCGATTAATTTTAGTTAAACAAAATCAGAGAGTGGTTATTAGTTCAGATTAGTCAAATCATAATTCAATTTAAAAGCCAAGTTAAATCTAGTCATATGTTACCTATCAATTTTGTTATATATTTAAGCAAATTAAACACTAACTTTGAAAAATAAAAGGACATGTGAAACACCTACTCAAACTACATATCAAGCGGCTTAAGCTAAATAACTTATAACTCAAAGGTACATTGATGATAACAATTAATCGTATTAATATTCATATATAAAATACCAAAGTATAAAACCTATATATTGATTTTTAGTTATGAAACTAGTTGCATGTATATATAAATTAAACCAACATGTTTAACTATATATGGAAAAACATATTAAAGTCATTTTAAATTTACCTTACAAAAGAAATAAATATTTGAGAGCATCTACGTCTAATATATGTAATATGGTTAAACTAATCATATTTTAATGTATAAACTAGCATGTATTATTTAACCAAAATAAACTTTAGCTTTTCAAAATAAAAGAACATGTGAGAACCTCTAATAGAACTGTATCTGACGTCTTGTTAAACTAAGCAAACTTATCATACATATATATGACTTTTAAATTGGAAAACTAGTCGCAGGCGTATTAATCCATTCAATATTCTATTTATAAAATTTACAAGCATGTAACATGATTAAAGTCATTGCTATCATATAGTTTACATCGGCATGGTCGCAACACAAAAAGAATGGAATTACAACTTTACGTTGCTTTTAATTAGAAAACAATTAAATTAGTACTAATCAAATTATATTTAAATCAATAAATTCATAATTGGGTGACATAAGATACGTTAGTGCTACTGCTTAGAGAGCGACTTTACGAAACTAACGCGACAAGAACTACTCGAACCGGATTTAAAACGAAGAAACGGAGTTTAAAGACTAGGTGGCAAACTCGTAGTTACATCGTCTTGTACCTTGTGTCATTCTCCGATCTGAGCCTGAGCATGGTGATGGCCTGCTGCTAACGTCTTGCGCAGGGGGGGCTTGGGCTGTTGCAGATCGTAGCTTCCTTGGCCATGGGAGAGGCTACTGCTGTCCTCGTAGGGAAAGGAAGGGCCTCAGTCTGGGATTTTTTAGTATAGAGAGGAATATGGATATCGACGAGCTCACGAAGACATAAGATGAACTGATATAAGAAGATAACTTTGCATTGATCTAGAAGGAAACGGGTAGAATTTTGAATAAAGAAATAATTGACGCATGATTGAGTATAAGTAGATGAGGCATGCATGTGTCAGCAGTAGTCAAAGGCATAGTGTAATTCCCAGCGAGGAAAGAAAATATGGAGATGTGCTCACGATGATTGTATGTGTATATGTATTTTCATTGTATTTTCTGGATTTGTTTTTCTAAAGGAAAACAGCAAGAAAACAACATGTGATGTCATCAAGGCTAGATATGATGTCATGAAAGCTAAAGATATCATCAAAGCTAGGAACTGGAGAGAGCATGCTTGCACGGGTGCAAGTGCAACTATGGCGGCGATGGAGCTAGCTTCGACCGAAGTTCTAAGAAAGGAACCTACATGCCTCGTTTTGCTATGGGACCAATACCGGGAGATTGAGGGGCAAAGGAGCTTACATATAGGTGTTCTCGATGGTGGTAGATCTGGTAGAGTCACGTCACGACGCACCAGAGGTCGCTCGGCGGAGCGGCGGCGACTTCTGCGATACATGGACTGCTGGCGTGAGCAAAATAGAGAGGAAGAGGCCAAGAGAGGAGGTAAGAGCATCAGCAGCTTCGTCACCTCGGCGTGGGGCTCGGCTACGATGAGTTCTGCGGCGTTGGAGACGCGGAGGACAGCAACGATCGATGCAGCGGTGGCGGGCGTGGTCGCTTTCGATCGGCGAGATCCCAAAACGAGCGGCAGAGCTAGATAGCTATAATTAGGGCTAGGCGTCGGATCGTTGGAGCAGATGAATCGAGCACACGGCCGCGGTTGGCGTCGGCGTTGTGGGCTCTGGGATGGGGCGGCAACGAGCAAGCATGCGGCGAAGCGAGAGGAAAAAATCAAATTTACTATACGAGGATTTCCCCCACGGTAGTTTTGGTGTGCTTTGCTCAAGGGGTTGGTTGATATATATAGGAAGAAAAACTCCCCACAAATACATCAACCAGTAATATGGTACTAATTGATGTTGCACCCTCCACCTTTACTAATAGGCCTAATTAATTATTAAAGCCCATTAGTAAATAAAGACATGGGCCTTTGGGCACGAGGAAATCTGAGATATTTCATTATTTTCGGAATTAATTAATTTCATGGATAAAATAATTCTAGAAAAGCCCAGAATTGAATTTTAAGCCACGAAAAATACTCCGAAGGCTCCGAAAATTCAGGGAAAATTCTCAGAGATAATTTAGAACAAGACGAACCCAAATAAAGTATTTGGAGCTCATGAAAAGATATTTTGGAGCATTTAAAAATTATATTATGCTCACAAACAAGTGAGAACAAGTTCCGGAAAAAGCCAAAGAAATTCCCAAGGTATCCATGGAGATAGGTTGATGAATAGTGAGCAGGAAGGAGTGATTTGGATTTCATGGAAAAGATTTTAGGATACTTCTCAAGCAAATATTAAGTCAGAAAACAAGGAATTTGATCGGTGAGAAA